AAGTGGATCACTCTGTATTCAAATCAGTAACAAAATAAAAATAAAATTCTATTGAGCAGTAAGAATAGGAATAAATTAGTAATTCAACATTTTTATAACTGTTTTTCGACTTAACAAGTCAAACAAAAGTAATTAATTATAACAAAATGCTAATAAATTTATATGATATTATGGAAATGACCTTGCTTCGAACCAAAAGCTGCAGAAGATTCTGTTCTTCAACTAATTAGTCTTTAATTTGCTGTTAATTGGAAGTAAAATTGATGGGCTACTTTCGGAACGGTCGGAACTGTACTAACGAGAATGCTAATATTCTTTTTCGAACCCGAATCGTCAGGTAAATGAATTGAATCGTTCTAATACAATGAATTTTTATAACTGACGCTTTCGATGGATTTAATGGTTCATATAATAGTCATTTTTTAAAGTATGATGAGATTTAATGTTGGAAATCGGAGGTCACGAAGAGAGTTGAACGGTGTCAATCACCATATAAAAAACTGAAAAGTTTATTCGATTTATGAATCAAATTCCACCTATAAAACTTGTCAAATATATTATTCTAATTGGACAGGGACAACTTTAATTCGGTATGGTATCTTGAACGAGATTTTAGTAATGCCTTCCTGTGTATAAATTTATTATAAATACTGACAATTAATCAAAAATGCTTTGAAAATTGTGTGTGAAAAAAAATTCCACTAAGATATAGAAGTGATATTGAAAATATTGTTTTTCATTTATGAGAAGAAATGATGAATACGAAGAAGGAATAGGTTCGAAATACACTTATCTATTTTGTAAAATTATGTTTTTCAACGAAGGTATTTTTCATACGATGGTATTCTTTTCCCATAATCACTATGACAATTTTTAGGCTTGTATGTTCTTTTCTATTAATGCTGACTGTATACGAGGTATAACTTGATGATCGTCACTGAATTGTATTCGAAGAACTGATAGTTATACAAATTGTCCAGGACCTTTTTCTTTTATTTTGACAGTCTGTCCTTCATCACCAAATCATTTATTTCTAATGAAATACCTTATTCACTATTGATTTGAAAAAATCTGATGATGGTTTTTATACCTTGATTCAAAAAGAAACAGTACTCCAAAAAATTTCATTAGTTCGGACTTCCATTGTCTGATATTATATAAAATGATTTGAAATCCCTGAAAGGAGTAAAAAAAATTTAAAATAAATAGCCGATAATAATAATTATATTGAGCATTATATTTTTTTGCTTAATATAATTATTATTTTCAGCTATTCATTTTCAATTCTTCTTTTTTAGTCATTTCAGGAATTTCGAATCATTTTATATAATATAAGACAATGGAAGTCCTAACTAATGAAATTAATCATGAAACATTGTCAGTCACCTTCAATTCAATTCACAAGTAGGGTAATGAATATCCATAACATAAATATACATCATAAAACAGGAGGATGATCAACACTGTTTTGATCTTCCCCTTGAAGATGATCACTTGGTGGTCGAAACAGGTGTCGAGGTGTTAAAATAACGGTTTGGTGTCGTGTGAAAAACTCTTTGGTAAACTACGAAATAAGATATTTCTCAAGTATTGTTATTTCAGAAGGTGATCCGTTGTGATATTTCATGAAGAAAATTCCTATCAACTTCCCGATTTTGAAGGTACGAATTGGTAGGTATATATTTTGAAAACTGCTGCAAATGAATATTTCATATCGTGATCAAAGGTGATAGAATATAATGTTGTTGATACTATATACAATATGTTAGCAATACGAATACAATGCTGTACGTTATATCAACTTTTTCCATGATCTTTGGAATTCCTTGGCTCGCATTCCATCATGCATGGAAGTCATAGGTGTACATTTCCTATCACAATTGTCAGAATTCATTCCAAAAAGGATTCAATCGTTTTGTGATTCAATCTTGGAATTTATATTAATTTTGTCTGTATTTATCCTTCGACTCGCATGTTATGCAAATGGCTATAGTTGTCTAGTTAGCCATAAATAATACTGGAGTTTTAATTCAACACCAAACCGTTATTTTTAACAACTCGACACGTGTTTCAGTCACCAAGTGATCATCTTCAAGAGAAGGATTAAACTACCTACAATACTGGCCTAATTTATAACAAAGATACCTGTGTTAGGTACTTACGTTTTTAATGTCTTAACATTTATTTGGCAATGTTGCCTCATCTACTAGTCAGGTAAATCTGACAACAAAAAATATTGTTTCAACAAGCTATATAGTAAACTATTAGGTATTGGTCCACCATCGTTATTCATAATATTATTATGTTGACTTATTTCTACACTCTCATAGGTATATAGATGCCTGTTGTTGTTAATTTGTCTAATTAATCCTAATGAACTGAAATCTATGGAATGGTTTTGCTGCAAAATATAATGGGCGAATGATGAATTTTCTGGTCTTCCATATTAAAGCTGTGGTAAGGATTCTTTATATCTTATTTTTATAGATCTTTCAGTCCGTTCGTAATATTTTACATTTAATTTCGTAAATTCCGAATTCTCATCTCTGCCTTTTGGATTTTATGAGAAGTTCTGTAGCGTAGTTCCTTGAAAATATTTCCAAAGTTCTCAGTGTATTCGTGGTATGGAACTGAGATATATTGTTCTTGGTTTTCGTCGTTTCTAAAAGTAGACATTTCGTTCATTCTCAACCTAAACTTTTTCTTTCTTATAATAATATCATCAAGAATACCCCTCGATAAACCGTTACTGACTGCTATTTCATGTATTGTCACTTTTCATTTCTTAAATTCAACCCAGCACGTTGGTGCTGTCCACATTGATGAGAACTGTCAGGAATATACCTGTAAGTGCTTATTTTCTTATGATGCACTGTTTGGAACCTTCAGTGTAGTAATGAATATTACTGGAGTTTTTTCCCAACACCAAATAGTTATGTTCAACACCTTGACACGTGTTTCGATCACCAAGTGATCATCTTCAAACAGGAAGATTAAACTCTTCTTCCTCTTCTTGTCAAGGTGTTAAAAATAACGTTTTGGTGTTGGGAAAAACTCCAGGAATATTGCTTATTTCCTTCCGAAATACCTCGTGTTCTAGCTTTGTAGAATACTGCTGGCTTTGTAGAATATTGTACGTCACTTGGTGATCGAAACACATGCCAAGGTGTTGAAAATAACGGTTTGGTGGAATAGAACTCCAGTAATATTCACTACTACACCAAAGGTTCCAAAAAGTGCATTACAAGTAGTTGGTCTAATTGGTTCAATACTTTCAAAGATAGGGCCTCCTGAGTGAATCTACAAATGTTCCACTGTAGCTTTATTGGCTTCTAACTCGACTATAATAATTAAGGCTCACTTCACCTTGTGATGTTAATTTTCACAATACATTTTTCGTTACTAAAAAAATTAACATTTGAAAATCGTCCATTCCAGTTTTTCACTACAATACAATAAAACTTGAAAAGTATGGATATGAAATGTTCGATCTGTCAAAATTTATATGGATTTGACAAAATACATGAGATTATGTATGTCTTGCAGCAAATTTGTTTCACATATTAGGTTTGTAAATTTTATAATTTTCATTTTCTTGGTGAATAATGAGCCGAATTAAAAAAAAAAAACATGTATGGAAAATTGAAATTTATATGTTTTCGTTAGAACACACTGTATATACTTATATATGATTCTGAAAAACTGCTCGCATACTGTTTAATTCATTGATTTTTGGTATAAATGTCACGGTCAACCGGCAACGCTCTAAGTGATATTTGTGGAGTCAAAGATACAAATGTTTGGAATATACGCCTCATAGACAGCTAATTGCCCTCATATTGCAATATCCTGCCAAGGAAACGTTATAAAAAGCTCATTATATGAACTGTCACAAGTTATAACCCCGACTTCACTCGTGACTTAACGCAGGGTCTGGTTTGTTCATCACTACCATAGGAAGTAGATTAATATTACGTTAATTAAAATGTTAATAACATACAATTAGTCGCTGTAATTACGGCAACAGAACCGCACTCACTAAGATTATTATAAGAATAGATTAATAATTTGTCATATAGAACACAAACAAACTATTTTCTTGGTGAAGGCTTATCATTTAGAGCGATTAATTTCTTCATTGTCTGGTTGAACTCGTTATTATCGTTGTTGATGAAATAATTATTTCCAAACATAAATTTTTAATACCTTCATTAAATTCGAGTAGTGAACGTATGTCATTGAAAAAATATTAAGGTTTCTCTTATTGTTTCATCCACTTTTTATTTGTTTCATGTCCTACATGAACTTTTTGATATTTGTATGAGATGTTTAAGTTTTTTTATAATCAGGGCATTTACCAGAGTAGAGCATAAGTCGCTTTAATGATATTTCACACATGGAAAATTATAAAAATATAGTGGATTCGTTAAAAAAATGCCTTCGAAATCTGAATATATTTCAGTCCTTTCCTAATTATGAAGAAAAGAGAACTGAAACTTTTTATGTTGTTACTTCTTTTATTTGTATCTAACGTTACTGCAGTTTCGTCCTATAAGAACAATTTCAAACTTATACATTAAACTCCTGATTTCCTAATTATTCTTGTTCTGAAATTTCGGAGATTTTTCTAGTGATTTTTCAGATTTTAAAACAGACAGACAGAGATGTTGTTCAGGGTTCGAATCAGCTCTTACTTAGGCTTCTTTATGAAAAGACAGATATGCATTTCTGGTTCTACTTTGAATCAGTGATGAGACCTAACATGAATTGTATTAACGCTGCCTGGTGATAGGATTATGAAAACTTTGTTTTTGAGCTCTGGCTTACTAGTACACTCACAGTGAAAGCTACAGAGAAAGGCAGAGGTCGAATTTCGTGTGAATTAATATTCTAGGTAAAATTATCTCGGGTTCAGTTTTTGGGACAGAATTTCAGTTTAAATTCTTGATGTATGTGGAAAATTTTGCAAAACTATTACAATGGATATTTCCTTGTTTCAGTTGACTCCAATGGGGAGCCACCCAAGCTGAAATGCAATTTAAGAAAGCACAAACCAAATAGAAAACCCAGGACACCATTCACAACACAGCAACTCCTAGCGTTGGAAAAGAAGTTCAGGGATAAACAATATCTAAGTATAGCGGAAAGAGCCGAGTTTTCTAGTTCACTCAGATTAACGGAAACGCAGGTGAATTATTTTACATATTCTATACATTCCTCTTGATGAATACTTTTTCATCTAACTCACAGGTGTTCTTTGAGTTCATGGTATAAACTACACGAAGGTTTTTTTGAATTACTCTGAATTATGCGGAGTTTGATATTTCCTTGAACTAAACACTTACTTAGCCTAAGTTTATATGTCATAGAGATTGTCACTTACACTTTCAGTCATATACACGAATAATTTATTGAGTGTAAATTAGCGGGACATTTTGAGCTGATTATAGAAGTTCCCAATGGTCTGTTTCCAATGAAACGTTTCTCACTATTGCAATGGTTAATCCATTCTCTGATATTTCCAGAACAGAAGTTTAGTATCACATTTTGGTTCCAATAATTTCTCCAGCAACACTCGTTTTTGTTCCGTAGCCTTCTTCTGATACGTGTTGTGTTCAGTAATACCTAGACATCTCTATCTCAGTTTTCCAGACTACTGTCATAATTTTTTCGCAACTCAGTCTTCATTGTTGTTTTGGAGGTGGATCAACAGTTTTGAAACATATTTTATATTCAGTTTTCAAGATATTCGATCAACTTATCAGTATATCTTGTTTCATTTGGATTAACTATAAACTTCGAGTTTTTTTGGAAAAGTTGTGAATTCACGGAAACATTCAGTTTTTTATCATTTCAATTTTAGGATATGTATCGCCGAAGCGAGCACCATTCAGTGTTCCATCATATGAAATTGATATATTGAAAATATTTTTTCCGCATTTGTGTTCTTAAAACTTGTCACAAAATAGTATCTTTCTTTGCTAATAATTAATATTATCAACATATTGTTGAAAAAAGTGTTAACCTGTCCATTTTTTTAAACGACAATGATATGAGATGAATGTATTTTAAAGTATTATTATTTTTTATATTAATCAAGTTCTCAACCCTCATAGGCATTTCATATGACTTCTTCGATTTATGGCTTATAATATAAATGCAATAATTCAAAAAATTATTTATCATCCAATTGTAACATAGAAATTATTCTGAAATGGTGAACCAAAAATTCTACGTAACTTCATTTGCTTCTACAGAGCTCCAACATTGAAGAACTTTTACTTGATTGCATTTTTTTTGGTGTCTATCAATTATCTGCCAAAATTTGAAAACCCCCTCACCCTCAATACTTCTTTTTGATATCTCTGTTCTCACTCTGAAATATAAATATAGCAACAAACCGAATACGGAAGTGACATAGACAGAAATGATGTTTGAAGTCTACATATTTGAAATATGCTTTATCGAATTGAAATGATTATATTCTTTAGAAGAGTTTAGTTTTTTGGAAAAATGGCTCTTGGCTTTCTATTTCACCATCTTCATATGAAAAATGTGAAAAACTTCCAGAGGAAAGAGTAAAGCAATGAGTTCAAAATAAACTCTTAAAAAAATGTGTAGATCATGAATAGTAGTTACTTTTAGATACGAACTCCCGATACAGAAGTTCTCCCAAAACAGCAATTTCTACAATAACATAAAATCACACGACAGAAATAGTACTTTCGAAACAACAATTTTTTCATATGAATCTGTTAAAAATCTGTTTTTCCGTTAATCAGCTGTCGCCCCCATACGAACGACAACTCCTAGAAGTTGAGAAACTTGTGCGAGCTAAGGACTAACGAGGTCTTACCTTTTAACGTGTGATTCCTAACACGGTTGCAGAATCATCCCAGCTTCAACCAGATAAATTCTCTCGAGAAAAATATCTGGTCGAGGCAGGAATCTAACCCACGGTCTTCCGATCGTGAGTCGGGCGCACTACCACCGCGGCCAATTCCACAATAATTTGTTAATGCTTCTGAAAGTTTCCTACATTATTTGTACAAAGGTAAAGAAGTAGAAAGCTTTAAAGCTTTTTTCTTAAAAAGCTCTTAATTGGTTTGTTGATGATTTGCTGCTGGTGTTATTTGTATTTTAGAGAGGCTAATAAATTGGACAATAAGAGAATTTTTTTCATTATTAATTTTTTGCTTCTTTATTTCTTTTTTTGTGAAATTTGTAATTCTTATCATGAATAGTGATTTTTATCAAGTTTCTTAGATTTTGACCCTAATATATACCTAACGTAAGGATATGAAATTCTTCCCCCCTTTCAACTGCGGCAGATCAAGATATTAAGATCGGACCAAGTTTACTTAGAAAGGCATATATTTCAGTACTTTTTCATTAAAAAACTGTGATACCTGTTCGAAATGATTGATACTAGCGAATTCATATCCTTTTTAAGAATCTCCGAACAATTAGTGAATGATCGAATCAAAACCCACACAAGTTTATCCCAATAAATGAAATGAAGTCTCTTTCTAAATTGATTTCTCACATTATTGATTTTTTTCTGAGGAATTTCGTTGCAAACGCATCTCATTCTATCCATGTTCTGGAATGGAATGCGATTGTATAACGTATACGTTAGATTTCATGAAAAATCCAATGTCGTTACATAAGGTGATCCAGAGGGTCATCCTGAGGAATCACCTCTGTTTATTCACCGGTTTAAATAATTGTTATTCCACAACCAGCCTGTCATGAAGAAACGTAACATCAGATTTCCATTTCATCAATCATAGTTCTGATAAGATTTTGCGGTATATCCAGATAGGTACATTTTCCCTATCCACTGATTTTTAAGAAACTAAAATTTTCAGTGAAATGGAATTCTCAGGAAATGAGTGGTATACAGTTTTGAATGAATTTTCAATTCGATTCATGATATTCATCGGATTGTAGATCTGGTTCAATTTTCAAATATAAAACAATGTTGAATAAAAAATTGAAAGATCCATCAAGAGAGTTATCATAAACCCCCTTTCTGATTAAAAAAATTGATAGCGATCTCCCGTCGTCATGTGACATTACCTCTATTTTATTTTTTGTTCACACTATACATGGTGTCCCAGAATTCAGTTTACGAGCGATGTCCCCGTCACTTGTGAAGCCGGTAAAATTTAACAAAAGCGAAAAACTATTCTCTGGTTTTTGAGATGGCTTCCCCAAAAATGTTCAACCAATTATTGGGATCTTCATGTGACTAATGATATTGATGTAAACTAATTCCGATATTTTGATCCTAAATTTCCGCTTTGAATAATAATTTCCTCATCAGCAACACAAACCATTCGTAAGTACAAAAAAGTACCAGTTCTCCACAGTGAATTGAGTGTCAGTTCATCTATTCCATTACAGTCCACACAGTTCCCGAAATCCCCGCCCAAGCGGGGATTTCGGGATTCACTAAAGCGCGGCAGATTAATATACAGGGGGATACCTTGTACCCTGTTAAGTACCTCCACCGCCAGTGAGGGATAAAGGATCAGATTAGTAAAAAAAATTGATCATCAGAAATTCTCGAGCGCATCAGATTAAGGTAGGGTGAGTTAATTACCTGCTAAAAAGTGTATATTCCAGTAATCTGACAATTTGAGAGTGACGTAAAGAAAGGGGAGGGCAGCAAAGTTGTAAAAAAATAACGTCATACATTCTCGAGCGAAGCTAATTTTCTTTTCATTTTGAAGGAAATAATCCAAGGATAACGAAAAATATATAATCTGACGATTTCCGCAAGCCGAAATAACAAAAATTCGTCGAAAAAGTTTATTGCGTGCAGCTGTGTGATACCTATATATATATATATATTTTCCTCTCCGAGTTTCTATTTCTCTATTCTCTATTCACTTTTTCTCTATCTATTACTCTCCCACTCCGTCCCCACTGTGAATTCTGTTGCCATGACGCCATCACAGCTCATCACAGAGACTCGTTCGTTATGAAGATGAAGATGATGAATAATTAATCAATTAATTGATGGATGTAGCCGTTACTACGTGGTAGGAAATCATAATGAAGAAAAGAGAAATTAAACTTTCTATTTTTTTTACCACTTTTATTTGTAACTAACGTTACTGCAGCTTCGTCCTTTAAGGACATTTTCAAACTTATACAATATGTAAGGACATTTTCAAACTTATACAATATATAAAATGCTATTTCCTGAGCTTTTCAATTAATTAAGTTCAAAGAATTTTTTTTTTAAATATTGTTTTTGTCAGATTAAGCGAATTCTTCTAGATAATCGTCAGATTATGAGACAGCACGTCTGAAACATGAAGATGAACCATATATATCTTAATCTGACGCGCTTGAGTATTTTAAAATGGCGAATTTTTTTCGCACATTATAATAATGACCGCGAGTTTGCGTCAGATCGAAATCGTCAGATTATTGAATGAGACCTTTTTTTTGATGCGATGAACACCCATTTAGAAAATCTGACGCGCTCGAATAAATTTATTTTCTTTTAACTTTTAACCCTTACGTACAATCACCCACATCATGCAAACGATCAAATCAACATACCATCATTATTAAAAATACGTAGGACATTGATGCTATCAATATCTGACGCGCTTGAGTATGTCCATGCAACAGTATATTTTTACATATTCAAAAATCTATATCCGCTTCCCTCACCGATGGAAAGGTATATATTATATAACATTTTTTTTATCATCTAAGCTTTGCAACCTTATATGTCACAATGACGCTCGAGTAAATCCCCATTTTGCATCGTGGGATCCCCTGCTATAAAATGTACTCATAACACTGCATTTGCCTCATTGAAGAAGATAAAGCAAAAGTTCTGGTTTATACTGAAATGAATCCACAGGTTCCTGTATAAGTATTAACAGCAAAATTTGGGGTTAGTAATAGTACTATTTAGAGAATTAACAAAAAGTACCACCAATCGAAAGTACATTTGGTGCAGGATTTGTGACTCAAAGATTTTGAACGTAGGTTAGAATTTATCTCGTACCGTCACGATAATCCAGATGTCCTTGAGATGATGGAGAAATAAATTCTAGTTTCATAATAATGGTGTGGTCACACATACCTGATGCTCATCACTGGTTCAATCACATTGGATAACACAAATTCAAACAAAATGGAGTATGACAATGTGGTGTGGACTTCACAATGACTCTCCTAATGGGCCATATTCTTACACTGGATGTTAAACAGAACCACGATATTTAGAACTCCTGCGGAACATATATCCCTCTGTCCGGATTAGCATTGATGATATATCATGGTTACCCAACATCTTGATGATACACATATGCTCAGAGATGGATAGAAGTGGTCCAATGTGTTGGCCAGCCAGTTTTTCTGATATGATTCCATTGTCTGAAAGGTTTTCTGAAACAAATTGTATACCAAATGACTTCAGTAGATCACAAGGATCTCAAGAATATAATCTGTCGTGCATGTGATACCATCACAATAAGTAGGATTACATTTGTCTGTACTAGGAAACTCATGAGATCATAAGGATCTTGTGTGGACGCACAGATGGAGCACAGTTCAAATATATTCTGTAGGATTCGTTAATTTTCTTTGTTTCATGTAGATCAATGCAGTTCAGACCTTCATTGTCTAATATATAAAATGATATGATATCCCTGAAACAACTAAAAAAGAAGAATTAAAAATAAATAGCTATAAATAACAATTATATTAAGCAAAAAAACCTGAAATGAAATAATAGTGAAATAAAATACAAGTGAAAATAAAACAATTGAACAAAAAATAAAAATAAAGAAATACAAAATTAAAATTAAGATAAAAATAAAAAGTTAAGAGATTTCAAGCCAAGTTAGTTCACGACGAAGATGATCATGGACCAATCTTTGCCAAGACTGAAAGCACGTGCTTGAAGATCCGCCAAGACATGAAGAATATCCACAACAGAAAGTGGGGGAAGTTAGTGCGGAAACAATGCCCAAATACAGACCAAAAACAGGACAACTATGAAGCCACCAACGTTATCAACATGAGTTCCCGCCCACTCACGGGAATAGAGAAATCCTTGTTGAGGAAAGGCCTAAATTTCGCCATTGCGCCAACATCTGTGCCCACTTCGGAGATAATTACTGCAGTGGAATCCACCAGTTCCCTTATTGACCAGACCGAGGCAGAAGAATTCAGATGGAAAATCAGAGAACGGCTGGATCGATAACCAGTTCCAACATCTAATATCAGCAATGAAGAACGTAGAGCTCTGAACGGCCTACGTAGAGACAACACCATCAAGATCCTACCTGCAGATAAAACGTGGTATAAGTTTGTCCGTCGAATTCTGAAACACCCTGTATATGGAGTGGTTTGAAACTCTGGCCATTGAATAAGCCCACAAGAAACCTCGAGTCTGGTTGAGATATGTTGACGACATCTTCATAATATGGAACCATGGGAATACTGGAATAGACGCCTTCCTGAAACACATCAATAGCGTTTCACAATGGAGAAGGAAATCCACAACGAACTGCCATTCTTAGACGTTATGGTGAAGAGGACCGACACTAAATGGAAAACATTTGTATATCGAAAACCCACTCACACGGGACAGTATCTGAACCACGAATCAAACCACAATCAATCAACTAAAAGAGGAATCATCAACACCCTATTAGACCGTGCTTTCGGGCTCTGCAACACGAAGGAAGGTCTCGAAAAGGAACTAGACATCATCAAAAATGATCTTCAACGAAATGGCTACTCCAAAGCGATGGTAGAAGATATTTTGGCTGAAAGACAGCAGGAGCGTAGCAAGAAAGAGAAGCCGTCACAACCTGTGCTTGCACTTCCCTACATCAGAGGATTATCGGAGAGGATAAGTAGAATTAGTTACAAGTGCAAGTACAACATCAGAACCTGTTTCAGATCCGGTAACACTATCAGCCTCACGAAAACCAGGCCACCAAACGCGGACTGCGATTCCAAGAATTGCATTTACCGGATACCCCGTGCGGAAAATCCTATATTGGTGAAACAAAGAGGCCATTGAATGTTCGCATTGCCGAGTACAAGAAACACACACAGCGAGGGGAAACCAGCAGATCAGGAATGGCAGAGCATGTTTGGATCCATCAACACAACATCGAGTGGTTCCAAGCTGAGATCTTACACAGAGAGGAACATTGGTTTAGGAGAAAATTCAAGGAAGCCTCATACATGTTGTCCAACAACGTATTCAGCCAAGCCAGCTTAGAAACACGCAACATATGGAAACACATCATCAAGCGAAAAATGGTCAACTCCCGCCAAACGGGCATCTCCCACTGAACCAGTGAAGCGGAAAAAATGGAAGGCGGGGATAAGTGAAAGTACTCGAATGACCCATAAATAGTCATCTCTCGGAGGAATCAGTCCAATCATCACCCGAAGACGATTGTGGATACTAACAATCGAAACGTCGTGAACTAACTTGGCTTGAAATCTCTTAACTTTTTATTTTTATCTTTATTCTCATGAAATTCATCATGAAACATTGTCAATCACCTTCAAACAAAGTTTTGAGTTTTTGGTTGAAAATTACTGTTCAGAGCATTTCGATAATGAAAAATATAACCTCTCTGTATTTACAATGACAGGAAGACTCAAGTGAATTATACAATTGTTAGGGTTGCCATTTGAAAAAAACAAGTAGTAGGGCTTCTTTAGAAACTGAAATGTTTACATCGATTTAAAAAATGATCCCAAAATGTCATCATGACGCCTTTGTTTCATTTTTTAGCTTCACAAATTACTCAATTCTGAGACAACCTGTATAATCGTTATTCATTATTTCTTCCACTTTCTAATAAATGAATCGAAATAAAGTTAACATGATCAAAACTGACTTGTCGTCTTTCTTTGCAGGTGAAAATATGGTTTCAGAACCGCCGTGCCAAAGCCAAGCGTCTTCAAGAAGCCGAATTGGAGAAACTGAAAATGGCTTCTTTGTCCCGCCACCACCCGCACGGTCTTTACCCTCATCCAGCCCTGCAGGGATATTTTTCGCCAGGAGCGCACCCCTTAGCATCCCTATTGGGGGCACGACCTCCTATGGGCCACATCGGACTCATTCCACAGCCGCCTCCACCCCATCTGTCCTCACCACAGGGAAGCATTCGATCTCCCAGCCCCCACATGTCCTGAATACGAAAAGGGAGGGCGATAAAGTCGATGTTAGGTGTGTTTAATTAGATGAAACGTTACTTTGATACTTTCAGAATCCCCAAATGTACCGACTAAAGCGTAAGGAAGACAGTTTGAAATTGTTACGAGGGTGGTTGGAAATGATTAGGACCGACTGGAAATAACGACTTCTGTTTTGTATATTTTTTTCTATAGCACATGAATCAATTGACTTAAAAGAATTGACTAAATTGCGCTTTTTTGATAAATGACTACACTTTTTAAAATGTTTTCGAACTACAGTGAAACAATTATTTTCTTAAGCTTTGTCGCATTATTATTCTTCCTCTTTAGTGGTTATGAAGTTTTCAATTCAGCCAGAAACGTTCATTTTGATATGCTTCGACACCGTAAATTTCGTAGTAACTGAGGCTACAATGTAGAGCTCAGCAGCCCAAGAAGCTTTCACCTTCTTGCTCTTCTAACTGATACCTAATCAGTGAGCTGGATAATTTTCGCAATAATTTCATAGTTGATACCAAGGTTGATACTACTAGAAGTTCTATCACAAAATTGTTTTGTACATCTCCAGAAACTACGATATTTGTGGCAACTGTGGCTTCAATATAGGGTATAGCGACTAGAGAAGACTTTTCATCCTCCTGCTCTTGGTGATATGGTTCCTTCTTGGAATACTTTCACAGTTCATACCAAGCTTGATGCTCTACTGGTAATTGTATCACCCTGTTTTGTCGGTATATCCTTCAACACCGCAAATTTCATAGTACTTGAGGATCCAATATATGGTACAGCAAACGTAGACGACTCCTGCTCTTTCAACTGTCACTAAATTAGTACCAACATTTGCTAACATCATAGCTACAAAACCATGAAATCCCAGAATTGGCAGTTTCAGGACATCTACAATCTTTCTAGGAACATTTTACATACTATTGGTGGTTGCACGTAATGTACTTACTTCTTGATGGTTTCCAAAACACTCACATCAGATTCTTGATCAGTGATGTAGAATATGAAAATTTATCGATAAGTCTAACATTACCTACGTCTACCATTTCCAACTTGTAGAGATCATTTGATTGGCATGCTCTGTATAGAACCATATTGTCATAACCTAAAATCATAAACAAAAATTTTGAGTTATAATCTGTAATTCGAAAATTTACTTTTGAGTGCAGGTACCCCTCATCTGCAATTTCTTTTAAAAATCTATCAACCTCTTTGGCCTCAAGAATTTCAGACTTATTGGGTTTGCAGCAATCGATTAATTCATTCATGAAGAAAAAATGAAGTACCTGTAAATGTTCAGTTGGTTCATATTTAACATTCCAATAGTGTGGTCAATCAACTTCAACATCAAATAGTACGACCAAAGAGATGATGTTTTGACTTTTCGACAATTTATGCCAATTTTTATTTTCTCTATCTTTATCCTTCTACCAAAGGCTACTTATTCTTTATAGTAAATTAGTCTCAACTTCTATGGCAGTAATTATGAACCACCTTAGCTACCTCCTTATCTAACTCGGTGGACAGTTCAATTTTTTGCTCTTCGTCCTCCAATTCTTTATAGCATATCATTTCTTGCATTCCATTCAGTTTTTTTGACACAGAAATAACAGTTTTTGAAATAAACAAATACGATAGCAACCCCCAAGGGACCCATATTAATCCATATTTTTGACACGATTGAGGATTGGCAAAGTATTTGTGAAATATTTTTCTCAAGTTTCTCTACAAAATCTGTGCTATAGAAAAAAATAGAATATGCTGGAACCTCTGGCGTAGAATAAATCCAAAAACAAACACTTTTTCCAGTCGACAAAAGTATTGCATTTCTGGTGATTGGAAAAATTGCTTGTTTTTGAATTGTGAAAGTTGGTCTACACTAAAGCATTTATTTATCGTTTTGGAGAATAAATAACTCTTGTTCCACTTGACAGTGATCCCATTTGTAAAAATAATTTGTTGATGTAGAATTGCCCAGTTAATCCATTATATCTTAGACAAGTAGGATTATTTTAACACACAAAAATCCAAAGAAATTTTCATTTTTTAACGAAAGTCAATTCCAATCAGTCCACTCTAGATATTTTCCAAATTAATTTATTAATATGAACGACATAACCAAAGTCAGTAGCATCATGTTCAATTGTATAAAACTATGTGAGTGATCTGGCAGTATAATCAGTGGTGGATGTGCCTGACGTGTACCGGGATAACAAATTTTAAGTAATGAATGAATTCATATCGTGTTTTAATTATTCTGACTAAGAGAAGTGGCCAGTTCTTTACTTGTTTTACATACATTTCGGTATGACCGAAAGAAAAAAAAACGGAAGTGTATACCTCTCACGACTAATTTTACATAAAAAATGAACAGTTCGTAAACGTAGACCTAGATAGACAGGAAATAGCTTTACTTCTCACCCAACACTCAATTATTGTTAGGAATCACACGTTAAAGGGTGAGACCTCGTTAATCCTTAGCTCGCACAAGTTTCGACTTCTGAGGGTTGTCTTTCGTAGGGGTACGACAGCTGGTTAACGAAAAAACATATGTCAAACAGATTTTTTTAAACAGACAGAATATAACTCCAACGTCGTGCTAATAGGTGATCGTTTATTAATGCTTGACGAACTACTCTATCAGAGAAACCCAAAACCAAATTTCAGGTTCAAAGTTTTGAACTCACAAATTGAGAAGAGATTAAAGAAATGAACATTCGAAATTTCTCTATCGATAACTTTGCCCTTCAAAACAAGTGTTGAAAATAATAATACTTGCTTCTACTACAGTGAAACAGTTTTTTTTCAAAGTTGTTTTGGACTATCTGAATCAGTTGAATGATAATATTCAGCCATCAATATTGAATTCAATCATTCATGAATGATAGTCTCAAATTACCTTCTCAAAAAGCCAATGGGCTCAAATCGGTTGACCTGATGGGTCACTCTTGTGGTTTATTTTAATGGGTACATTCAACAGAAAAGGTTTTTTTGTTTCGTGGTGCATTTCATTAGTTCGGATTTCCATTGTCCAATATGATATGAATTGATTTCAAATCCCTGAAAGAATCTATAAAAAACTAAAAAGAGGTTAGCTGAAAAATTACAATTATATCAACAAAAAAACTGAAATTACAATGGAATAAAATTAAAGCAACAATCAAAAAATCCAAAAAATTGAACACGGGATGAAAATTGAAAATTATTAACAAGAAATGAAAATAAAAATTAAGAGATTCCAAGCCAAGTTACTTCACGACATTCGATTGTTAGTATCCACAATCGTTTCCGGGTGATAACTGGACTATTTATAGGTAATTCGAGTGCAGTTCACAGTCCGCGTTTGGTGACCTGGTTTTCGTGAGGCTGCTACGAATAGTGTTCTCAGATCTGAAGCAGGTTATGATGTAATACTTGTACCCAACTCTTCTCATCCTTTCCGACAATCCTCTGATATAGGAAAGTACAAGTACTGGTTGTGCCGGCTTCTCTTCTTTGTAAGGTCTTGCCAGAGTCTGTTCCGCCATCCGTTGAAGGTCATTTTTGATGATGCCTAGTTCCTTTTCGAGACCTTCCTTTGTATTACAGAGCCCGAAAGCACGATCTTATAGAGTCTTGATGATTCCTCTCTTAGTCGATCGATGGTGGTTGGATTCCTGGTTCAGATACTGTCCCGTATGATTGGGTTTTCGGTATACAGATGTTTCCCATTTAGTATCGGTCCTCTTCACCAATACGTCTAAGAATGGCAATTCGTTGTGGACTTCCTTCTCCATTGTGAAAATGATGAAAGGACTTACCTTGTTGATGTGCTTGAGGAAGGTGTCTAGTCGTGCATATTATTAAAGTGTCATCCACCTATCTCAATTAGACTCGAGGCTTCTTGTGGGCTTCTTCAATGGCAAGAGTTTCAAACCACTCCATATATATGTTGACTATAACCGGTGAAAATGGTAATCCCATTGGCAGTTCCTCATCTTGCGTAAAGAATTCGTCCTTCAGTTGGAAGTAACAATTTCGTTCAAAGCATCCTAGTAATTTCATGATTACTTGTATCGGTTAGTTTGTTCTATCTTTCAGGTCCCCATCTTCGGATAGCTTCTTTTGTATGATTTGAAGTGCTTGTTCGACAGGAACGTTGGTGTAGAGGCTTTTCACGTCGTAACTGATCAATGGAAGTTCGAACTAAGGAACGATTCCATCTTTCTCATAGCAATTATATTTTTCTTGTAAGGTTTTTCGGTAGGAAGAGAGGACTTATAATGTTGTAGTCATAAATTATTGCCAACTCGTTCAAATTTTCAGGATGTTGTACGTAAAATCAGTGGAGGTGTTCGAGGACTAGAACAGTTATTTATGACGAATTACAGCCCCGTTCTGAAAAGTTGAACATAAATCAGGGTTACTTACTATCCAGTGAAAGTCATTGAACGGATAAAATGAGAATTTGGAATTTGTCAAAAGCTAGTATGGCTCATACCAGAAACTGTTTTCCAGTTTTTCATTCCGAGAGTTTCTTCTTGATTTTACCATAGAATATTCGGATTTCGCTACGAGCTGAGTAAGTAGGTACTTACTTTTAATATACTCAATATATGATCGTTAAATAAGTATGCTACCGTTACACACTACACCTACCGTTACCCTCGTTACACATTTGAATTATTCAAAATACGAAGCCAAAATATTCACGATAAAAATTGAGATACTAAATGTCATTTCTTTCGGAAAAATATAACGAAAGTGACAAAAGGTTTGCTAAATTATATGAAACTATTATCAGTATTGATTTTTAGGTTCCCAACATCTCAAAACAAAAATAAACAGTTCTCAGTGATTTTGATTCTGAGGTAGACTTTGAAGCTGGTGTATTTTATTTTACTGTTTTTAATATCGCTTTCTATTTTGAAGATTGGATTTCTGTTTTTTTTTAATCACGATATTCGTTCTCAAAAAGTTTATTGTTATGTCAAACATCTCAACTTAGTAATTTCCATACCAACTAAATTATTT